CGAACCCGCGACCCTCAGATTGTGAGTCGAGCGCCTTATCCACCTGGCCATGCCGGGCCGTCGAAAACAGTATTAATTTTTTTCTATCACGTAAGGATGTTTTACAAACTTGAAGGAAAGAAAACTCTTACTTAGATCAAATTATTATTTCGTTTACCACAATGAACATTTTTATTCTTATGTTTGTTAACAAAAATACAAACAAACTGAAGAAAAGGGAAGAACATTGATGTTAAACGAATATACATCCTCATTCATCCTGATTTCTTTTTGTGAAATTTATGTCTTTTAGTCTCAAAATTATATGTTGTTGTCTTTCTTTTATATATTGCGTCTGGATCATTTCGTTTTAATGATCAGCAATAATCAGCCATCATGCTGATGTTCCACCTTCTCTGATACCTCCTCTCCATTTCCCTGATGTTTTGATGAAACCTTTCCCCTTGTTCTTCGCTGACGGCACCGAGATTTTCAGGGAAATAGTCAATATATGAGTGTAAGAAATGAACTTTCAAGCTCATATTACAACCAAACTCTTTGAATTTATCGAGCATGCTATTGACAATATATATTCGTAATTTGGGTCCTAAAAGTTTGTTAATAACATCTTTAAAGGCAATCTACGCTTCTTTTTCAACTTTCCCCATTGTCCTTTCGAACTGTTCATCCGAAGTCAATTTTCTAATCTTAGGCCCAACAATAATCCTTTCTTTAAGTTTCGCTTCTGAAAGAGATGGAAAACAGTCGTCATCTTTGTCTAAGCCGTTTACAAACTGCTTCATCAAGCCCAGTTTTATATGGAGGTGATAGGACCTGGTATCAGGCTGACTCTGTGTGGTCATTGCTTCTTTATCCAGTGCTGATTTCGTGCTCTGCTATCCCATTCACACAAAAAACATGGAACTTTGTATAACCGGATTGTTGACCCAACAACATACAAAGGACTCCACAAAGTAGCGAACCATGTTCTTTGTATTTGACCTTATTAAGAAGAATTCAAATTCGATGACGAGGGGCCCACTTTGAGACTAATAATGGCTGCAGACGGCTTGAATGGGTAATGAAGAAAAACATTAATATAAGATCTTGTACGTTTCCTTCAAGTGAACCGAATGAGCATAAGGAACAGATGTATATATGTTACCATGGTGAAGTAAAACACCTTTTTGATTCCTTTTAGAGGAATCAATGAACAATCGCCACTCACTTGGTTCATAGACTGCAGCTCCTAGCATTGGTATTAATCCAGCAATGTTGTTGCAATAAACCAGTGAACCTTCTTGTGAAAAGTATGGAATAAACTCTTTTTCGTGATTTCTGTACCAGTAAAATGATGTCCCTGGAGAAACTAAGTTCTTAGCCCGAAGTCTGGACCCCAAAATCTCTGAAGAATCCTGTGGAAGGCCCAAATCTCTCACCAAATCATTAAATTCACCTTGTGTAAAAAGTTGTGGTTCACCAGACGTGTCAGGTTGCAAACAATCCCTATCATCATTTCTATTGACATCAGATGAAACTATATCAAGAGTCTGGTGGAGTAGGTATAGGTACATCAGGTACATGAGCAACAGGTTTCATAGCAGATTTAAGGTTCGGATAAGAAATGTACTTCTTATTTCGAGTGTTGTAGCCTTGCAGGTTACATGAGCAAAAGTAGCAGTCATCTCCATGGTTTCTAAGCTCACGTTAGACCATTGGAATTCCAAAAGGTAAAAACTTTTTCTTACCTTTAGTCCATAGTCTTAACTTTTCTACACAAACGGTGCAAACTTTGTGCTGAGCTTATGATTTGTTTTAGTCCCCAAGTTTTATTCCAATATATTGAAAAGAAAAAAAAATAATGTCAAATTGCACACACAACTATCCAGAAATGACACGTTATACGGCCTGTTAACCGTTTATATACTGGCGGTGTGTTTCTCGTGGGTTCTAGAACGACTGATAATACTCTCACGTCGCGATTGATGAAGAGAAATCTATACCCAGTGGTTGTCAACATTTAAACATAAAAAAATCTGATCCGATTTTAATGAAAATGATTCACTCATGTAAAATTACATACGACATTTTGTGAAAAAATCTGTACGTGATGAAGAAAAATGGATATCATTTTCGGATTCAGTGTACAGGAATTAGTGTAGAACATATAAAAATTTGAAGAAAATTAAACCATCGCAGGCCTGTGTTATGTTTGTTAATTAGTATGCTCATTTACTAGTATCGCTAGACTAATTATGATCGTTATTAGTACTAGTGGACCATATTCTTTTTTTGGAACTAGTACCACTAGACTGTGTTCATTACTAGTAAAGCTAGATTAATATGCTTGTTACTGGTACCATTAAATTATTAGATTCGTTACTAGTATTACTAGACTAACGATGTTTGTTACCAGTATCGATAGGCTAATTATTCAGATTACTAGTACCACTAGCTTAGCAATGTTCGTCACTAGTACCCCTAGACTATTTATGTTCATTACTATTACCGCTAGACTATTTACGTTCATTTCTATTATCACTAGACTATTTATGTTCATTTCTATTATCACTAGACTATTTATGTTCATTACTATTATCACTACACTATTTACGTTCATTACTATTACCACTAGACTATTTATGTTCATTTCTATTATCACTAGACTATTTATGTTCATTACTATTATCACTACACTATTTACGTTCATTACTATTACCACTAGACTATTTATGTTCATTACTATTATCACTAGACTATTTATGTTCATTACTATTATCACTACACTATTTACGTTTCATTACTATTACCACTAGACTATTATGTCTATATATTATACTACTACTACTATTAATTTATTATACTTAC